ACATGTTGCATGTGTCCATGACTGGCCAGGTGACCATCACTGGTTTACTATATCGGTTTGGTGGCAATCTCAGATCCTTGCTGCAACAATTGGTAGTTGGAATGTACTTGGCAATATGTGGCCAGAGATTGGATGAGAGTTCAGCTGACTTGGTACACAGGGCCAGATCAGGTCCAGGCCTGTGCTGCACTCCCTCAAGCGAATGAGATTGCTTTTCATGGAGGGATTAAGTGCTGCTTTGTGGCATAAGTATTTTGAAGGTCACCAGCAATGTTTCCAGATGTTTCTGTATGAGTGGCATGCAGGGTGGTTGTGAGAACCACCAGTTTGGGCCTCTCTATCTTTGGCTCAGCCACTGCATTGGCCAGGAGACTAGGTAGAGAGCTTCAGACTTTTGGAATTATGCTTATTAGGCGCCTGTGGGTGCAACATGCAGCTGTTGAAAAAGGACATCAGGCCAAACTGCTTGCAAGATGTGCTGTTGGAACAATGGTTTGCAATTGTACTGTAAGCAGTTCTGCTGCAGCCAATTAGCATGGCGCCTAAAAAAAATGGTGGAAAAATGGCCATGAAGATGGCTGCCAAGAGCAAGGCCGCTCCCAAGCACAAGGAGACCCAGAAGACTAGAATCAAACAGGAAAAGACATCTCCAAGGAGAACGCAGAAGGCCAAGAAGGAGACAGATGTAGAAGTCCAGGATTGTGAGGCGCCATCTTCAAGCAAGGAAACCTTGGGCTATCCCAGGGGAACCATTTCGGCCTTGCTCACCAGCTTGCGCTACCAGCCCAAGTCCAAGAAGCTCAGCGCAGAAGAGAAACAAGATGCAGCTAAAGCGCTTGAGGACAGATGAATGTTCCATTGTGGCATGGTTGGAGTTGTTTTTGGTTCTTGTTTGTATTTGCAGGAGTATGAGCAGGGCGATGTGGAGACCAAGAGGCAGATTTTGTCCAATTTGGACAAATATGGAGTCAAAAATTGCAGCTGGGTGCACCAGCTCAGCAAGAGCACAAAGACCCACAATGCCCATACAGAAGATGTCATCAGGATTTCTACACAAGGCCACTGCGATGCATGTTTTTCTGCTGTCATGTTGCTGCATTGCATGTTGCTTGCACATTGTCTGGCTCGCGCAGGTCTGCCATCTTCAAAATTGAGGGTGTGGATGAGAGCTCTTTGGCAAATGACGACATGAAGCAGCAGCTTTTGGAAGAGATCTTGACGATGTGTGAGTTAAGGTTTGGACATGCCAGGCAGACGCAGCTGCATGATAAGTTTGACGTTCTGAGCAAGTACTACTTTGTGCATTCTCAAGGCCAGAAGCAAACCACAGGGACTGTGGAAGAGCAGACCTTAGACAGTTCTTGCACTGGCATGAAGGGCATGCAGGTCAAGGACAAAGCTGCCATGGACATCATGATGGGCAAGACCAGCAGCGCAAACCGCCGGATCCAGAGAACGTCAGCTCTTCCTTTTCTGAGGCATCTGAAAGCTTCAAGTTGCTGCTCAAGGACAAGGCGAGGTTGGCCGCAAATTTGGAAGATCTCAAATTTTTGAAGCACAAGATGAACAGCCTTTACAAGAATGACCCTGTTTGGACCAAGAAGATTGAGGAGTTGGCCAACGCATGCGTCAGTTTGGATTCCTTCTTGGAGGATCTGAGGGCTCACCATGCCAATGGTTTGCCCAAGGATGCTGAGGCTGATTGCCTAGAGCTGGCCAAGTCCTTGGCTACAGTTCATCTGCAGGCTCTTACACATGACAAAGGAGGCAAGACTATGATCAAGACTTTCAAGGCAGTCCTGGATCAGTGAGCATGGCGGCTGGAGGATATTCTCCTGTCAAGCCCCGGCTCGAGATGTCTGGATCCACCCTTGCGGCAAGCTGGAGAAACAGATGTTGTGTTGATTGCTTGCAGGCTGCGCTGACCTTGTGCAGCACGTTGCGTGTTAATAATTGGGAGCAAGCGCGCATGGCTTAAGCAAGACTATCAGACACAACTTTGGGATCTTTTAGGTCTTCTCTTCATGTAGACACCAAAATTCTGAACTTTGGATGTTTTGGTAAACAGAATGTTTTTCAAGAAACATGTTAGCTAGCGCAGTGCCAGGCTATGAGCAATAGCATGTAATTTGCAGTTGCCGGACATCCAATTCTGCCATGAGCTGATTTGGTGCCATGTACAACAAGAGGTCTTTGGCTTCAGAGGACATTGCAGACATTCCAGATGAGAAAAGGTTCAGGCATGACATGGTGGATGTTTTCCTGAACAATGAGCTGAGTAGCGCGAGATCAGCTCGACTGCTCCACAATGCTGCCAGGGCAGGGGCACGACATGTGCAGGATTTGCAAGTCAATCAGTCGGGCTCAAATGCCCAGAGGGACCTGCTCAGAAAATGTTTCAGAAATAGCAAGTGGCCATCAGTGTATGAATTTTCAGTGCCTGGGTGGAACCAAGCCAAGCAATGTGAGCAGCAACATCAATTGGCCATGCTGCTGCCCCACGAACTGTTGCATGCTTTCTTGAAATTAAATTCTGCGGAGACAATGTTGGCCAACCAGCGCAATGTATTGCCTGAGAGGCCTGACCTGCTATCTCATTTGGCGCAGTTGCAGCAAATGGGATTGAATCCTGATGAATTGCTTCTCACAGGCATTTGGTCTGATGGGGTGCCATTCAATTCAGACCGGTCTCAAACTTTGGAAACAATTTCTCTCAACATCTTTGGTGACGATTCTGCCAGATTGCCTTTGACAGCTTTTCCAAAGGAATTTCTGCACAAGAAGAAGACTTTTGAATGCATCTTCGAGGTTTTGCAGTGGTCCTACAAGATTCTGTTAGAAGGTGTGTTCCCAAGCTGTAGACATGATGGGCAGCCATTCACGAACTCTGATAGCTATAGAAGAAAGTTGGCCCGCAAGAGCATTGGCATCAAAGCCTGCCTGGCTGAATTCAGAGCAGACTGGGCTTGCTACAAGGATGTCCTAGATTTCCCATCTTGGGCAAGTACAGGCTACATCTGCTGGCAGTGCAATGTGCCTAAAGCCGACCTCAAAAAGTTCGACAGCCACACCTTTGCCAAGTACCTATGGGCACATTCTAATTCAAGTAATTGTTTTTGTTTGAGGTATATATAGATAATTAAATCGCCCCCGAGCCTGTTTTTTCTGGAGGCCCTTGGGAGGATTTTGCTGAATTCAGCCCAAGTCAGGTATCCACTGATCCGCTCTTTGGATTTCTATATCAGGCAAAGGCAACAGAATAAGATGATCTCAAGATTATTCTCTTGCCCAGGCTTTAGCACAAGCTGCTGCAAAATGGATTGGCTGCATGCAGTGGATCTGGGCATCACAGCAGATTGGTTGGGATCTTTATTCTTTTACCTACAGAGTGAGAAGATCAGAGGTGTCAGCAAGTTGCTCCGATGCGCAAAGCTGTTCACAGATATTCAGGAGTATTACAACAGAGTACAAGCAACTGACAGATTGCCTAAGCTTCTGCCAACAATGCTCAGAGATGAAGACAAAGGCAAGGCTAAGGCGCCGAAGTTGAGGGCAAAAGCTGGGGAGGCTCGAGCACTTGTGCCTTGTGCTTTGGAGCTGGCCAGGAAATATTTAGATCCAGTCATATCACAAGAGGAGGCCATGCTACATGCTGCAGAAGCTTTGAATTCCATGTATACTTGCTTGAGCTCTGCTGCTTGGGACCAGGCTGTTTTCAGGGATGCTGCTCAAAGATATTTATTGCTGGCTGGGCAACTGGAGGCGTTCTTTGAAGAAGACAAGATATTCAGAGTAAAACCGAAAGCTCATCAGCTTGTCGAATTGGCCAGGCATGATGTCAATCCTAGTAAGATCTGGACATATCGGGACGAGAGCTATGGACACACCTTGGCGCTCCTGGGTAGGAGACGAGGAGGCAAATTTAGCATGCGTGCTGTTTCTTGCCAAGTCCTGAGGAGGTTTCTTGCAGCTAACAAGCTGCCTCGACTCCAAGCTCGACCTGCTGGCTGCAAAAAATGCTGTGCCATTGCACGGGATAGATCCCCGTCAAAACACAAGTGCATATGCATATGGATCTATATGGTGCATATAGAAAATTTCACATTGCTTAAATAAGCATTTTTTCTTTAAATTATAAACAATGCTTAATTAACAAAACATTGCTTAATAGTCATGGCATTTAAAGTTCTTAAATTAAATAAGCACTTTTGGAAGATCTGGGACACACATGCACACAAACACACGTGCACACACACACACACCCACACACACACACCCACACCCACAAACCCACACCCACACCCACACATACCCACACCCACACTCACACCCACACCCACACCCACACGCACACGCACACGCACACGCACACGCACACGCGCACGCGCACGCGCGCGCGCGCACGCCCACGCCGGGGCCCACGCCCACGCCCACGCGCACGCGCACGCGCACGCGCACGCGCACGCGCACGCGCACGCGCACGTGCACGTGCACGCACACACAAGCACAAACACAAACACAAACACACACACACACACACACACACACACACACTCACTCACACACACACACACACACGGCACACACACACACACGGCACACACACACAGTCGCAGCACGCACACACACACACATTCGCAGCACACACGCACACATTCGCACACACACACACACATTCGCACACACACACACACAGGCACGCACTCACGCACAAACTCGCACATGCAAACAAACATACACACAGACACACACACACACACACACACACAAGCATGCTTTGGCACAGAGTTCCGGTTGTTTTCGCGGGCCAATGCCTTAGTTGACCTAGCTGCAAGCGCAGCTGGAATCTCAACTTGCAAATCTGTCGCAAGCATTGGTTGGCCAGTGATGACTTCCCGGGCTTATCCTTGTGCAGCTCCAATCCGCTTTTGAGTGAGGGCGACCTTGTACTGGAATCATTGAATGGGATTGCGTGCCTGGGTACTGGCCGCAATTTCCAGGGGATACCAGAAGCTCACGGGCCCTGACCAGCGCACGATCCGCCGCACCCTTGCGCAACGCTGGGGGGCCCAGGCGCTTGCAAGGTACAAGCGGTGTGCTCTTTGTGTGTGTGTGTGTGTGTGTGTGCCATTTGCCTGTACCATCCTACTGCGCTGGGCGCGGGGCGCGTGGCAGTCCTAACTTGCGTTTGTTTTTGTTTGTCGCTTCGGTCCTAGTGGTTGTTTGCCTGTGTACCGGTCAGCTGCACAACAAGTCAGCGCTTGAACAAAAATCAGTTAGAGAGGCAGGCTCAAGCGGCTTGGGCCTAGTGCTTAACATAAAGGCGTCTTTGCTCACTAGGCACGAAAGCCTCAAGCCCCTCTGCCCATCCCGTCATCCCTAGAATTTCTGCCAACAAAAAAATGTGGAACTTGACGATGCAACTGCAACAAGTTTCCTGGCACTCAATGTTGGGAAGGGGCTGTGGGTTAGGCCAACCTGTTGGTTTTAAGCATGTCACGCTTGTTGGTTCCCCAAGGCCGGGATCTGGTTGCTTCAATCGCGTACCCTGGAATCTGGCAAAGCCGAGGTTTTGAGTCGCGTGCAGCTCGCATAGAGCGGGTGAAATCGCGGGTGGAGAGACCTGGCTGAGTCGGGTGGAGATGAGCAATTGCATAAGCGAATTCCAGGTCCCATGAATCGACGACGATTTCAAATTTGATGCCAGCAGGTCCCATGAATCGGAATGCCCGCAACAGGCCCGAAGCAAAGCAGGCGTTCCCCTTTCGCCGGCCCAGGTTTGATGTGAATCTGCAGCTTGTTCACGTGTGTTTTTGTTCGATGTGTGTGTGTGTCTGCGTTCCCGACAAAATCGGGGGTCTTATGCGCATGGTTGCCCTTTGTGCTAATTATTGCACTGGTGCTCGTGCGGGAGGCAGGCGCACATCACACCGACAAGTTGCAGTGAGCCCCTCATCGGCAAAGAGTCTAGTCGACGCGGGCTGAGGAAGTACTCTCAGCGTGCCCTCGACTTGGTCATGGCTCCCGAGCCGGACTTCGAGGATCGGTGAGTGAGGCTGCGAGGTAAGTCTGCTGGCTTTGCATTAGAAGTTGGGCCCGATGGCTTTTGACATGCCCAAAGAGAGGGCCAAGGCCGAAGCAATTCGAGGCCTAGTCCCAGACATCGGGTGGAGTTTCGCAGGACACAGAGCTGCTGTACTATGTGAAGGTCCTGAATAGATGCAGAAGTCATGCCAAGGCGCTGCTCGATGCTAGGTGAGAGATCATCTTGCATTCCATGCTGCATGCCCCCCTCCCTCCCTCCCTCCCCCGCCCGGGTTTCTCTTTACCCATCTGCCATTTTGCAATATCTTCATAGAAAACGGTTGGTTGGGACAACCTCTCTCGTTATTCTAGTTGTAAATGGCTGTGGGTCAAAATTGGGTACCCAAAATGGAACCCTGGCAAATAGAACCAAGGACTAAAACCTGCGGTCGCCTGGTGCTTTGATTTTGGCCCATACCCAAATGGTTGCTTCAGGTAGGACGCATCTGAAAGTTTGCCCAAGCTTCGCCCATGGCACGGAACTGGAGAGCTTGGTGCGTGCCCAGGTGATGTGTGGCTCAGCCTGGGGTCAGTGGCACAGCGCGGGAGACTGCGAGCTGTGCAAGAGACGTCACTTGGCGTCCAGCGTAACAGGAGCTTGTCATGAGGGCATTGAAGAACTACGTTTGGCAAACTATTGGGCCTGTTTGTTTTTTTTGGCGTTTGCAGCGAAGTTGCAGCCAAGGCTGGGGACATGTCACTCCAACTTTTGCTTGACCTCAAAAAGTTGTAATTTGGTTGGAACCACCAGAAACTGCAACCCTTCAAGATCAAAAATGTGACCCCTGAATTGTCGACAGCGACAGAGGACCAGCAAAGCAGCTGTGCGAACGGGTCATCTTTCGGCAGTCCAAGGCGTAGACCGAGCTGAGAAGGGCTGCCAATGCGCACAAGGAGGTCACCGACTTTGTTGGAGATGTATGTGCCATGGCCGCAGGCCTCGCGAGAACCGGCGGCAACGAGTTGCCCTGGTATCCAGCTGGCTCCCAGGTTTGGGAATCCAGCATGCTTTAGGGATGGAAACAAGAGCCACGGGAGAGGAAACTGCGCTGCTTCTTGTCCTAGGGCGACGTGCGCACGGTCTTGGGTTCTGAAACCCCAAAACATGGTAGCGCAAGCTTTTCTCGTCCCACGTGCGGTATGGTCTAGCTGGCCCATGGTTTGCCTTCTCTGTCCCTTTGGTTTGCCTTCGCAATCGCTTGAGCTAAGGGTAAGCATCATGAACTGGGAGCCACTGGGCAGCAAGCGAGGCTCATCGGGCTTCGCATACTGAACATGGGAGTTGGGACTTCGCCGCCCGGATGGGATGGATGAAACCCTGTGGGATAAACCACCGGCTGTCTCTGGGGCATGGGCAACTCCCGTTTTTTTACTTGCAATGCCCCATGAAGATCCTTAGATTTGTGCAGAGGGGTCCGGTTCTGGCAATTCTTCACTTGAATGCGGATCTTTAAACTTTAAGATGTTGGGAAAAATATTTTCGTACTGGTAATAACCATCAAGAGCACCACACGAGGACCAGCAAAGCCTGGCAATCACGAGGCTGCTGTTGTCACAGGGGAATCCTGCTTGCGGTTGTGAGCTGAGTGGTCAGGCCCTGCGCACTGAGGAGTTTGGCCTCGCAGGAGGGACAGTTCTCGTGGTCTTGGGCCATCAAAGATTGGCGCCTTGGGGCAATTGGCAAGAGGATTTGGAGGCTGGCACAGGAAGGCCCAACCCTGCGTAAGGAATCCAAGGATAGGCTTTTTGAGTACAGGTTTCGATGACGACGCTGAAACCGAAAGTCAATGCACGTGATGTGTTTGTTGCATCGCAACGCTCTCGTCTCCTGTCATGGAAAGCTCGGGCTGATCTTGAGTCCAACGCGGGGGTTCACTTGTTGCATTTTAGCATCGGGGCGGTTCCATGTCAAGTTATTGTCAACAACTTCGTGCCATTGGTGTTTGCTTGTGATGTTTGACACTTGCGCCCCCCATGTGGGTGCACCGCTTGCGAGAGCGTTTTTGCTTTGGGGGTATGTTTGGTGTGTTGCGTCCCAATGGATTTCCTATGGTAGTGCTCACTTGCGCTGACTTCTTCAAGGCTTCGCGTCCCGTGCGCGGCGTAGAAGTTTCCGATGTCGAGGCTGTAGATCCCACCCGGACGCCGGAACGGCGGCAGGGGCGGAGCAGGCGCGCGTTGCACAAAGAGTTGGCTTCTTGTGGGGACACTTGGTTTCAGCGCGTCAGTCTTCAACCTGCGATGGGTTGCAACTGTGAGACTGCTGCCAGGTGCAAAATGCAACTTGCTCGTCTGAGGGAAACCTTGCAAACCTTGCCAGCCGCCGCACGAGAAAGAGCGCCAGTTGCCAGTCTATCACACCCCTCCCCTTCTTTATGCGGCGGCCGACCTTTGCCGTCCCTTTGTGCGGGGGGAGGAAGGCCTCAGTTGACATTTTGCGCATGGGCATTCTGTCCACAAGGTGCAAGTGAGAGTCCAGCAACCAGGATCCATCCAAAGGCCACCATATGGCTATGAAGTTCAATAGGGGACCGCCTCACAAGTGGTTGGTGGTCATACCCCCGCCCCCTAATGATGTCCACCAAAGGGTTCGTTCTTACAGTCTAATGTAAGCCCATGTGTTTGATCATTTTGTCCGAGCCTTGCCAGCCGGGATTCCTCCGGCCAGTGTGCGGGGGCAGGCGTTCTTCGGGACCTTCACTCGATAGGTCCGCGGCATGCGTTCAGGGCTGGATGCCTGGGTCAACGCTTGCAGTGAGCCGCAAGTTGAGCTCCGCTCCCCCAAGCCCGCGCGAACAGGGGGCTAATGACCTCGGAGGATACGATGTTTTTTTATCCATGCTGTAAGAACAAGCCTTAATGGCTCTCCTGTACGCGCCCCATGGGATGTACGTCAAGTGCAAATATGAAACCCCTTCAGAATTGAGCCAGAACAGCGCAGTATGTTGTTGCCAGTCAGTTCTCACTTACAGACCTACCTGTTTTCCTCATTGGCATGGCCGCGACCCCACATGAGCTGCCTGGATTTGTGCTGCCTGGCGTCGCTCCCGCAGCTGCTGGGGAGCCTCGGTCCAAAGCAGCCCCGGCCGCACCAGCCGAAAGCACACAAGCCCAATAGAATAGAACCCGTGGACGGAAGCCAGAACTGCTTCCACTGCGAAACTTTTCTTTTTATCATTGCAGTTTCGACCTTGGCTGACTGTTTCAACAGACTTTCAAACTTTGAGATATTTATTTGGGTATGTGGGGGTTCGGCCCTTAGTTTACCCCCAAAGCCACCCCAAAAAAGGGTGCCCTCGAAAAACACACCTCCATTGGGTGGCTGCAATTTCAGGGGATTCCTATTGTGAGACGCCCCCCATCTCAGGTTCGAAAGTGCCGGCCTTCCATGGTTGGAAGGCTAAGTCCCTCCCACCAACTAAGATGGAAGTGCAAAGCGGCCAACTAACCAAGAGGAAAGTCGTCTTTCTACAGGGGTCTGCGCACCAAACCCATGTTAGCTGGTGGGAGGGCAAATCCCTCCCTCAGGACTCTGCAGCTCGCGCATCTTGCGCCGGCGTCCTCGGCTCTGGGCCGGGCAGTGGGCCAGGAGCTGCAGCGACGGGTGCGCCAGGCGCGGGCTGAGGTGCTTCAAGCCACCCCACTTCCCCCCTTGGCGAGCGAAGAAAGCCAGGCCGCCAGGCCCATGAGCCACGTGCTCAAAACCCAGGTAGATGACGGTTAATGTTGACCCAGGATGAATAAACCCGTCCCATTAGGGGGGTGTTCCCTCCAAGAGTGATGAATCCCCACTAAAAGGGGACACCCCCCTATTAATCAACCAGAGGTTTATTAATCCAGGGTTAACATTAGTAAGGGACAATCCCGACCATAAATAGCTGCGGCCGCCTTCTTCAGTCTTTACATAGTTCTGGGTAGAGAATTTGAGTGCCGGGTTTTGATTATGACTCAGGTGAGCCACAGTTAAAACCACAGTTGGAGAGTGGACAGTTGGTCTTGGACGCAGAAAGCCGTATGTTTCCTTACATGGATGTGGGTCACCATTTTAATGCCGGCTTGTTGTTGCTGCGACTCTGTGGGTTACTTTTGCGGTGAGAAGCAAGGTAGGACTTGTGTCTATGATACAAAGGGCGTCCCCTGCAAAGTGACCAGGTCGGAGGATGGCCCATTTTGGCATCAGGCTGATTTGTCCACACCGTTGCTGTGTTTTTTTGTTTTTTTTGGCAGGGCTTTTGACCTAGATCAAACGCCAACACCTGAAGGTCTAGGTCATGATGTTGCTGCGTCTGGCGTTTTTTGCGCTGTGTTTTGCTGTCGGGGAGCTGGTTGTAATCGTGTCTTCTTGTTTTGTTTCGTGTGTTTTTCCTCCGGGGCTGGCTTTCTTGGCATGACAGCTTTATGGCGGGCTTTCATCCCCCGAATGCCCCAGCATGACCAGCAACAAGAGGGATAGGCATAAAACAAACTTTAATAGGGATCAAACAACAACTTTTTAGGGATCAACAAAAAACTTCTTCTCATTCCTATGGGGAGAAGGAAGGAAGGAAGGAAGGAAGGAAGGAAGGAAGGAAGGAAGGAAGGAAGGAAGGAAGGAAGGAAGGAAGGAAGGAAGGAAGGAAGGAAGGAAGGAAGCGCCCCCCCCAACCACCCCGCTGATTTGTAGAATGTTTACAGAGATTAACGCACATCACTTCTTCGATCATCATCACCCTTTGTTGAATCATCACTTCTTCGAGCATCCTGGTATGTAGACCATATCGATGGGGCGACAAAAAAAGGCAGAGTGATAAAGGTCATGATGCAAACGGTACTCCATTTGTTTGGCAGGATTGAAATTAACGAGCCTGAGATTCGGGCCAGATTCTGTTGGCCTTGAGACAAGTTAGGAGCTCGAGCAAACTTGCTACAGCTTATCAGCTGCCCGTGTAGACAGGATTGATGTTTGTTGTGCTTGGCGGTGGCTTCAGTTTTGGGAGTGTCTAAGTCATTTCTGGGTCAAAGTGTCAAACTTGCCAGTTGCTGCATCCTGCTTGGGGAGATGACGCAGGGCCGCTTGGCTTGATGAAATTTGTGCAAGCACGTCAACATGTGTTGCGAATGAGCTTGCTTGCCTTGGAGTTTCGGCATGTCATGCACGATCCAGTTGAGCAGTTGCCAGACCAAATGACCGCAGCCACAAGGGCCCAAACATGACTATCATGACTCAAGATTGATACTCTCAGAGACCCGACACCAGTGGCATCAATTGTTCAGGATCAATTGGTGGCATCAGTTGGGCCAAGTAATTGACCGTCCGGCCAAGATCTGGGGGTGTCTCAAAGTAGCAAGTGCTTGGCGAACCCTCCTGGCTTTCCGTGTCCAGCTCATCGCAGAAACTGGCTCGTCGCAACCCGACACAATGGTGGGGTCCTGACTTTTTTTTCTGCTGCGATTGAAATCTCCATCCGGGCGGGTTCCGAGGAATTTTTTGAGACACCCCCGCGCCATGAGATGTGGCGGGCCCTGGAAGAGCGGCGCAGGGCGGAGGTGAGCGCCTTGGAGTGGAAGCTCCGGGAGACCCGGCGGCGGCACATCGAGGCGCAGGGTTCCGGGGGGCCGGGGGCCGGGGGCCTGGCTTTAGGACGGTGTTCGGAGTGGGGGGAAATGGGTGGTGAGAAAAAGCACCAGGAATCGGACCGCAGGTTTGAGTCCTTTCCATTTACCACGGTTCCATTTTGGGTACCTATTTTTGACCCACACCCAAATACTGTGGACGAAATCCGTTTCGCACCACCGTTCAGAAACCCTGGAATGATGCGATTCCCCCTGTAAATTCCAAAGAAATCATGGTTTCATCCATGGTTTCTCAAAGTGGTGCCAACGGATTTCGTGCATCCACAAACTGATGTCCCCTAAACTGTCCCCGAACATGGATGGTTCCTTTTGGTTCCCAAGTGCCAACTAATAAGTGAAAGGGTATAGCTATATGGGTGGCTCTTTGTTTTTCCTTCTCGTTACCCTGATCAATACTGGTAGGGAAGCCCTTCCCCCCCCCCACTCCCGGGAAGGTGCTCAAAACAATTCTAAGGATCCTAGGACCCCTACCGCTTCATTGTCCAATTTCTGCGGACTCAGCGAGCAGTGGCACAGAGCTGTCTGAAACGGGCAGTGAAAACATGCGAGCCCTGGCATGGCAATGTTTATCTTTCTGGATTTCCAACTTTGGGCCACTTTCAGTTGAGTTCCAGGGTGGTGGCCCTGGTTCTCTAAAGCGGGGCCCAAGAACGGGTTGGTTTGGATTGTGCAATCTGTTGGTTTCCCTCTGAAGGTGCCAAAGTGTTATGTAATCTTTGTGATGCTTGTAGCGTCTAACCTTTTGGGAAACCTGGGGTTAAAGCAATGGGTGTTGATAGGCCTCAACGAGTTCCTTGTGGTGGTAAGTCGGTAATTTGGGCGATGTTCGGAATATGCTGTGTGTGTGTGTGTTTGTGTCTGTGAGTCTGTGTGTCTGTGAGTCTGCGTGTCTGTGTGTCTGCGTGTTTGTGCGTCTGTGTGTCTGTGTGTCTGTGTGTCTGTGTGTCTGTCTGTCTGTGTGTCTGTGTGTCTGTGTGTCTGTGTGTGTCTGTGTGTGTGTGTGTGTGTCTGTGTGTGTGTGTGTGTCTGTGTGTGTGTGTGTGTCTCTGTGTGTGTCTCTGTGTGTGTCTCTGTGTGTGTCTCTGTGTGTGTGTGTGTGTCTCTGTGTGTGTCTCTGTGTGTGTCTCTGCAGCTTTGCCAGCTACAGTTGTACAACTTCCCCTTGTGCTAAAACCAGCTCGTTTTTTTCCCGGGTATCATGCTCCCAGACTGAAGAAGAAGGTATTTCCTCTTTGCCCCACTAACGTGGAACCTACCAGGGGCTCCCTTTCAACGGACAATCGTCATCCAGGACTAGGTCCCCCAGTAGTGCCCTGTTACCTGTTTTTCTTTTTGGGGGGGGGTTCCCCTACGAAAAGAGACTGCGGAAAAAACGGGTACCCTTATTCTAACCTCTCTACTGGAGGACCGAGTTGGGTCGCTTGAGCCTTCCAGGAGCTCTCCCGCCTGGCGTCCGCCAGCTCCACCGAGTACGCCTGGGCTGCGCCCGCGAATCCGCCCCAGGAACCGCGGCCGCGGCGGCGCCTCGCCGGGGCGTCGCTGTGCGCCTCTTCGAGCGCAGGGCACCTGGAGGGCAGTGGCCCAGTGGTGGTGAGCCTGAAGAAACTCAACAGCCAAAAGCGGGTAAAAAACGGATCTGACCTTTTGGTGGTTTCCCTCTTTTGGCCGATTTCTCGTCAAGGTCCGGGAAAAAAAAGATCAAGCTTTCCTGATGCTTTGGGCAAGGAAAGACTACGGGGCACATCGGATCCGACTTTGGGTGGAGGACTTGGCTTGCTTCGGCAGCGCCAGGATTCATGCTTTAGATGAAGCAACTGGTGCCCGGTCGCACCGAGATATTCCAGATGCTGCCCTTTCAAAGCTGCTGACTGCATACAAGCGGTCTCCAAGCTGCGATCCTGACGATGTGGACGAGTTCCTGCGTGCATTGCTTCGTGCATGCAAGATCCAACTCTTCCCTCAAGAGCTGAACATCATCATCAGCCCACCCACGCCCCAGGATCTCCACCCCGAAGCCCGGCCAGCCCCTTTGAGTCATCGCGTGATGCAGCACGTGTCTGCCATGTCCAAAGCCGGCCGCCCCATCCGGGCTGCCAAAATGGCGCGCCCGGAGGCGGCCCCGGCCGCGGGGCCCCCGGGGCCCCCGGGGCCCCCGGGGCCCCCGGGGCCCCCGGCCCCGCAGGCCGCGGGAAGTTTCGAGGCCACGGTTCGGCCCCCCCCAGGCCGGCCGAAGGCGGTGAGGCCCCGACAGGTGCGGCCCCAAAGCGCCCCCCACACCGGCAGGGACCGGGACGAGGTCAAGGAGCCGAACGAGCCTGGGTGCTACATAGCTCACTTTGAGTTTTCACCTTCCAAGATAAAAGGGAACCAAAAGGGCACGTTTGTTTTTCTCCATCAGTTTCTTAATTGACCAGGGCACGGACTGTTTTTTTTCTCCATCAGTTGAACTGCTTGATTCTTGGCCAGACGTTTTTCGACGCCCAGGAACTCAAGGAGAAGCTCAAAGAGCCCAAGGTGCTCTCGCCCGCCGTGGGCGCGCCCGCGCCCTGCGGCCGCCGGGCGCGGCCCACCTCGGCCAAGGCCTTGAAGCACCGGAGGGTCATCGACGACAGCGTGGACAGCAGCCAGTCGAAGCGTTGTTTCCCTATGTTTCCATATGTTCCATGTGTTGGTCACTATGTTTTATCATTTTTTCACTATTCCCCCCCCCCCCCGGGGGTTTTCATGGAGTTGCAGTCAAATCCCGCATTTGCCATATAGAGAAAGAGGTTTGCTTGGATCTTGTGATGCCTTGGTGATGTTCAGTAGTTGGTCTTCCGAATTCTAACCCGGCAAAAGTTAAACTCTTAGCAGGGGACCTGAGGACAGCCCAGACATTTGTTGTTCATGCCATGAAAAGTTTGGGCATGGTCAGACCCAAAATTCGAATCAAGCCCTTTCTTCATCGCAGCTGAGGCATTATCTATGAAGATGACGAGGAAGAGGAGGAGAAGCTCACCGATGGCGGCCAAAATGGCCACCGTTGCAGGGCCAGACCCTCCTGTGATTCCAGCTCATCATCCTCACGATCTCAATCCAGGGGCGTGTACCAGTATGTTAAAATTGCCGAGGCCGACGAAGCCTTGGAACCTATGTGCGCCTTGGACTAGAACTTGTCAGACTGTTATCCAGGCCTCGGGGTAGTGGCGGGAGTTCCTCCAAGGGTCTGGCAAAGGCCGGGTAACCTCTCCCCCGGAAACAAACATTGGAATCCAAGAAACTGTCAACTTGACGCACCGGTGGGATCTCCTTTGAGGGTAGCCC